AGTTGGTGTGCAGGTGGTGAGTCACCTTTTTTTTTTTTTTTTTTTTTTTGAACTCATCCCCTTATTACACACATGACATGAATGAATCTTTCATCACCACAGAAAAAAACGACTTTACAAAAACGCACAGTAGATCACAATCTGGTCGAACGATACTGCGATCTCAACCCAGGGGTTTTAAAGCCCTTCTCTCTAGTCAAAAATAACCATGCCTACCACACTGCGTTCTCATTCATCGACTACTTTCTCCTCTCGGAACCTCCCTCTCTCATGGGAACCGTCAAAAGTGCAGAAATCTTGTCACTCGTTCCCTACCCAGGCCGGGACCACAAACCGGTTGAACTGATCTTCAGCTTTCAGCAATACATCAAGAAAGGCTGCAGTTTTCACAAACTTGATAATAATCTCTCTCTCTTACTTATCCTTACCTTCCAAGACAGCATTCACGAGTGCCGGCAGAATTCAAACGGAGATTCATTTTCAATCAGGACCGGTGGGAGTGGTCTTTAAGACTTTAGTAACAGCATATGGCAAAGCAAGAGCCTACTTACGGTCCGACGACCCCACCAAAAGGGAAATATACACCAAAGATAGCCTGACACTACATCACGAGAAAACCATTGAAAGGTGGAAAAAAAAAAAAAAAGGAATAAAATCGATCCAAGACGGGAAACGAAAGCCCTGCAGGTCAAGTGGATGATGGTATAAGCTGCTAACCGAACCGAAGCAGTTGGCATGGAACACACTGGCCCTGGACACAGCAACAGGTCTTTGCCCCCCCCCCCCCCTGGAAACTCCGACTAACGTGTCTGGCCTCTTTTGGGTAATGAACAAAGAGTGGAGCCCAAAAAAGACAGGCGGCAAGAAACATACAAGAGTGCCCGCTCTGAATGAAGCCCCAACTCCAACTCCGTGTTGGACCGGAGTGCTTCGCATTTGCTGGGCGATCATGCCAAAAAAGGGTGGTTGATCCAGAACTAAGGAGGAAGTCCTGAGGCAGCCCCTCTTCACGAACCCTTCTTGGGTGAGAGATTAATGCCGAGCTACCGTTGGTATTGTTTCAAATGAGAATCATGGTAAGCGTAATTTTCATTGGAAAGCAGGGAAAAGTAGATGGTTAGAACGACGACCCGTTGTTTGTGGTGTTGCTATGAATCCTGTAGACCAACCTCATGGACATGGAGGAGGAGAAGGACGTATACAAAAGGAGGCTGAAGGTGACCACCCATTGTCATCGAAGCCAAGGGGTAGGAGATGGAGATTCTGGATCAACCATGGGATTTGAAAAGTAAGTCACATCTGGAACGAGGAAAATAAAAGGATTGGTCGTAGGAACGTGAACTCAGCATTCGTTTCAAAGGATGTTTCCACCTAGATGAAAACCTACAGACAATTCTCAAAAAAGTACGGCTGGGAGTCTCGATCCAGGGAACACGACACCTCTCAGGGCTTTCCAAGTCTCCCATAGACAACCAGGCTCAGACCACCTCGCCGTGCTCACCTCCTCCTTTCCAATTAATCTATCTGTCCAAGGGTCCCCCTCAATTCATAACAGGGACGTAGAGATGGTAGTTTTTGAGTCCTTTTGTGCTGCAAAAACTGAGAGTGTTGGGATGGATGTTGGCCTAAAAGGAAGGGAAAGGGGGGGGAACCTGGGGAAGGGGGCAATGGTACAAGGAAGGGAGAGGAAGGGGCAATGGTGCAGAGGTGGCATGACTGGGAGTTCAAGTGTTGTGTGCACTTACTGTAACTTTCTGTCTAGATTCCGCGATAATGACCCTGCGTCGTATTTGGGCGAAGACGGTAGGTATGTGGCATGATCCGTAGCATTAAAATTTAAAAGTGATGCACAGTTTCTGTATTTCTGTCAGGCTACAGAGTCTACAGACAGGTTTCCTGGGAGGGGGGGGGGAGTTGAATCCTGCTCAGCGTGGAGGAAGCCACGAGTTTTCCCAACTACTGTGACCCCCCTCATCTGGACATCTGAAATTACATTCGTCCCTCAAACACAGCACTCAGTCATTATAACTGTATTTATAACAGTATTTCGTACAACTTTCAAGCCAGATACAGATACAATGACAGGGAGTTGTGTTCAGGGAAAGAAGGCGAGACGAAGAAGGGTGAACAAGGATGAGGTTGTGGGAGATGGGCCATGGGAATGTGCGTGTTTTCCGCATCCTTCTTTCGAGCCTTAACCACCACAAGTGCTGTGCATTGCTTTGCTGTGCTGTGAAGCAGGGGTTTTGCCAAGCTGGGACTGAAACATGAGGCCATGATGCAGGCAATTGCAAAGCATTCTGTGAAGATAATGAACAAATTCGACCCTCAGTCAGTGTCGAATGTTGTTTGGTACGTAAGTTGTTAATACCTCTTCTGTTGCTTAGGACTCAGAGCATCCTACATACACTATGGGGGGGTTGGAGGGGGGGTTGGAGGGGGGTATAGGGGTCTTATAGGTGGTATTTGGGGGGGTAATGAGGGTGTTGGGGGCCATTTGGGGGTGTTGGGGGGGTGTATGGGGGTATTGGAGGGCGCTATGGGGGTGTTGGTGGGGTTATTAGGGGTTGTGGACCCAAAAAACACTTCTTTTTCGTTTTTTTTTTTTTTTTTTTTCCCGGGGTGGCGACGACCCCCGACCGGTAGGTGTCCACCAACCGGCTGGTAGGCAGGTCGGCAGCCGACCGGTCGAGGGCCGCCGACCGTCGGGGTATGCAACACGGGTACAATATGTATGCTGTAGATTCTTATTTGCAATTTTGGCAATTATTTTCTCATTAAATTTGCTTTTGTGCCTGGTGTGCCTGGTGATTTGCTTCTGTGCGAACATGCAGGTCCTATGCATCCTTTGACTGGTACGATGCTGAGCTCATGGAAGCAATTGCCGCGAGAGCCACACGCACAGTGGACCGGCTTTCACCCCAGGCTCTGGGCAACACCGCCTGGTATGTCATCGACTAAGTTTTCATCTGTGTATATGTAACGTCTTCGCCGGAATGCGATTCACCCCCATCTTGATGGCATCTGACCAAGTTTATGGCTTAAATTCATTCAGGTGTAATGACCCGCAAAAACACAGACTGAGAACACTGCTGATTTCTGAGTTTTGCCGCTGGAATGGATGCCTTGCTGAGATTCCCGCATTCTGCTGAGTTTTCTAAGTCTGTGTGTGTCTGCGTGCTTGCTGGTCTGTGTGCCTGTCTGAGTGCTTGTCGGCCTGAGTGTGTATGTGACCCGCAAGGGTATTTGCTTGCTTGGGAGGCCCTTTAGGGCCGGTACTTGCCTGTGGCCATGACTAGATGGTTGCAGGGGGAAAAACACTCAAGTAGCGGGGGTAGGCCAGCGGCACTTAGAGCAGTAGGGAAAAACACTCAAGTAGCAGGTAGGCCAGTACCACTCAAGTAGTGGAAAATTTGGCGGGGAGTGGAGGCGGAGCAGAAGAGGACAAAAGTTGGCATTTTTTGAGGCCCTGTAGCTGGTAGCCTAGGTCTAGGCTGGTACCAGTCCAAGTAGCCTGAGTCTAGGGCCTGTGCGGACAATATCAGAGCCTGCAATGATGTTTCCCTCCGAAAGGGAGGAGTTACCGGTTGCTTGGAGGCCGTGCGGCCTGGAAGTCACAGCCCAAGGAGGCCGCTGCCTGACTATATCTCCAGGGAGAGCCAAGAGTTCTTCCTCATTTGTGGTATGCAAGTTTGGGCGACGTACTGCTGGAGCAAGCACTGGACTTCAGAGCGCAAGTGGGAGGAGCAGCGCTGGGCATTACAACGCTGCTAGGAGGAAGGGGAACGGGAGCTTCCACCTTGGCTACAGTGGAGCTCTACCGGTAGGAGGAAGAGGAAGGAAAGGACTAGGGAGGAGAGTGGCGAGGTACCTATCTGGCTATGGTGGACACCACATTCATCACCAAGTTAGGCGCTGGATCGCTTCAAGGCAGGGTCAGGCATGGCGGCCCGAGAAGCAGCGGTCATAGCTGCTTGCACAGCAGGGCCAGGCCCTTAGTAATCCGCCATAGCCGCGGCCGGTTGAAGAGGATGAAGGAGGAGGCCATGGCTATGGTGTACCGCAGTTGATGCCAAGCAGTCGAAGAGGGTTTTGGACATTGATTCTGGTTCAGCCATTCAACATTCTGATTTATTGTTTGCATAAAGAGGGCAGTAGAAAAAGAGGAGGAGAGTGGATGGCGACAAGAAGAGAATTATCATTGGTCTTTGCTGGTGTACATCTTCTTCTCCTTTCTTTCTTCTTCTTCTTCTTCTTCTTCTTCTTCTTCTTCTTCTTCTTCTTCTTCTTCTTCTTTCCCTCACTCTCCTCTCTAGTTCATTCATTTGCTTTTGCAATTGGACGGCATTATGATGCTTTCTCATGAATTTGCACTTCGAAATTGGCCAGGTTCTTAACACAAGATAAGGTCGCATTGTGTTTGGGGGATGATGGTAAGGAACATAATTGCCATTGCTGCGTGCTGCAGAACTCGTGGAAACAATCGGACAGAACCACAGTGCAGACAGAAACTCATGGAGCAATCAGTCAAACAAGTACGGACGGGCATTCCAATGTGTCCGTGGCAGTTTCTGCACACTCGTATTCTTGTTTGCCTGCTTGTGTTGGTGCAATGTCCCTGTGTAAGCTGTAACTTATGGAAGTTGGTGCAATTCTTGTGGTGTTTGCAGGGGCTTTGCTGTCTTGAATCACTATTCACCTGCATTGCTGGATGCCATTGCCAAGGCGGCAGCCAGCAAGATTGCGACTGTACCGTCACAGAATATGTCCAACATACTGTTCACACTAGCATCATTTGGGCACCCTTCATCCACTTTTCTTGACGTTTACATCGATGAGGTCAGTGTCACCCATACTATTGCTTCACTTCCAGATGTTTCATAAATTCAAACCCTTCAAAATGACTGTCCCTGATCAGCGCTCAAGTGGGTTAAGTCTGGAAAAAATGTGAATTCAAGAGATTAAACATATGGACCTCTATACATTGAGTAATCAAATGAGGAGCTGCAGAAGGGTATGTGAGGAAAAAAGACATTCTTTCCTGAGTGATATGACCCCAATTTATCTATCTATCTAATCTAATCTAATCTAATCTAATCTAATCTAATCTAATCTAATCTAATCTATCTATCTCTGTGTGTGTGTGTGTGTGTGTGTGTGTGTGTGTGTGTGAAGCAAACAACAATGGATCATACTGCGTTGAAGCAAGAGATGCAAAAATGGAGCGCCAACTTCAATATGAATATGATTATCTTACAATCTAGATGTACAATTGACTGACAAGGCTACCTGGTCATTCTATGTTGAAGTAGACTCCTATTCATCGCTTACCTCACTTCTTCTTCTTTCACCTCAAAACTTCTTGTTGCTCTTCCGTAGTAATGCCACTGTCCCTCCTTAAGAAGATGAAGTGGAGAAGAGTTGCACACAGAAAGAACCAAAATAGCATGAGGGCCAACAATGACGGCCTTCATCAGGCCACTGACACACCAAAATCCAAGGCTAGCATGACTGATTTCAGCAGTTATAGGTAGCTATGGCTGCCGTGGTCCCCCCTTGTACCAACGTGGAACAATCTCTATCCTTCCCAGTTACTACCCCTACCCTCAACGAGATTCGACATCTGCGTCCTCGCCAGTTTGAGCCTAGAAGCTAGCCTTTCAGCCTCCTGTTTCTCCCTTCCCTTGGAAGCAGCTTAGAGGAGGCAAGAGGCAAGGACTGTGAGATAGTATAGAAAAGTTATGAACTCAACATGATAGGACCTTAGAGATGTATTTGAAGACCCATCTACCTACCCATTACCTATTACGATATTACCTAATCAATGTGTTCATCTACCTACCTACCTACCTACCAGTTTGTTTACCTAATCAATTTACTCATCCACCTACCCTACCAACCTGCCGATGTACCAACCTCCCTACACTATCAACTGTCCTACCGATCCCTCCCTCCCTCCCTCCCTCCCTCCCTCCCTCTGTCTGCCCGTCTGCTTGCCCCCCAACCCGCCTGCTTGCCCGCCCACCCATCCCTCCGTCCATGCGTCCATGTGGAAGCCATTCTGCCTACCAGCCCATACGCATGCCTGCCCGCTTCGTCCCACCTGCTCGCTTGCCCGCCATCCATCCGCTCTCGCACGCATTCATCCAAGCCATCCATCTATCCACTCAAGCCCCACCTACCGCTTGGTCTGTTGGTTGGGTGGCTGCCTAGGAGCTGGTCGATCCGTTTGCCTGCCGGCTGACTCCCCAGGTGGCTAATTATCACCAATTTTAACTGCATTGCCTTTTTTTTTTTTTTTGTGTGTGGGGGGGGGGGGGGGGGGGGGGGGGGGGGGCGGCTTTTATGAGCACAATTACAAACAAGTATATATTGTCATGTCTATGCTGTATTCTAACTGTCGTCATTTTTTGGTGTGTTTCTTCCTGTGGCGATGTGCAGGTCAACAGCCGGCTAGAGGAAGGGAAACTTCCCAGGCAAGCAGCAGCAAACATTGCCTGGGCATTGGTAGTGCTTGGCCACTTCCCCAGGAGGTTATTTCCACTCCTCCGTGCCTGCCTCTCACAGTATGACGACTACTCTTCCCGTGAGCTTTGCCAGCTCTATCAGGTAAGTTTCTCAATTGTGTTGTTTGATGTTCGAGCTTATCCATGTTTGCCTTTTTCTTGTTAAACGTTGAGAAGTTCGAGAACCCTAAGTGCAAGATGAGCGAGAGCCTGAACCACCCTGACACCGACAATCAGATTAAAGCATACGTGCGGTGAATTGAGGTAAGCGCCTCAGCGCACGTTTGGCGGACCTCACGCACCACACCCAATGCGGCACCGAAAAAAAAAAAAAAAAAAAAAGGTGCAAGGGGTTATGGAACACCCTGCCCTAAGGAGGGGAAAAACTCAAATGGGCGTGGGAAAATTTTTCACGCTGGAGTTTTATCAACTTGTATGGAAAAACAAAAAAGCAAAAGGGGAAAAACAAAAAACAAAAGCAAGAGAGAGCGGCTCGTATCCTCCCATGAATATTGGAGAATCTGACACCTGAACACGACACACCATCATCATTATTAAACACAGAGAGAGAGAGAGAGAGAGAGAGAGAGAGAGAGAGAGAGAGAGAGAGAGAGAGAGAGAGAGAGAGAGAACATCCAGTTCATGTCTCGTAGGCACCCTCATCATTACCGTATCCGACCCAAATTGTCACCTGTATAGAATGCAATGTATGCAGGTGACGATTTGGGTAAGATACAGTTTTGATGAGGGTGCCTACTATGGTTACTGTTCGTTGATTGACCGTTCTCTCTCTCTCTCTCTCTCTCTCTCTCTCTCTCTCTCTCTCTCTCTCTCTCTCTCTCTCTCTCTCTCTCTCCCAAAGCGTAGCACTCTGGCTTGGAAATGTCCAAGTTTCGCACACGCACACACACACACACACACACACACGCACGGCTTTTGTTTCCTTTTTTTTTTGCGCACATGCACGTGCACCACTCTCTCGCCCATGGCACACAGCGCCCCGCACCTCACTGCACACTGTATAGTGTCCCTTCAATAAGTAAAGACAGTGTGGCGATTCACAACGATAGACAGTGTGACAAGCAAAATAGGGCTTAGTATGCCAAGGGTAGGTGCCAAGTGGTGTCGCAATCATCACTGGAGCTGGAAACAGCTGTGTCAGAGGCATAGTGCAATGACCACCGCAGATTTCAGTCTAACTAAACCTGCATTTTGCTTTGTTTTGATGTTTTTGTAATGAACCCAGTATAGAAAATACGCTTCAAGTCTCGAAATACCAGAAATCTCAGCTCTGAACAATGTCTCCAATAATTGTGAATGTGATCTGTAATGCAATGTCTCGTAGCCAATGCCCGAAAAGAGGAGAGGGGGATTAGACTGATTAGAGGGTGGAAGAGTAATCCATCAGTGATCACAGAGATAGCATCCCAACAGTCCCCTCTCCTTCTCCGGGCTGAGGGCTCCCCCCTCACCTCCACGTCAGTAACAGTGTCCAATAACGAGCCTGGCAGGTCCTGATCACATCAAAGTGCCACGTGGCCCAGTTCTCCCGTGAAGACGTTCAGCAGCATACAGTATCGACATCAACAGCAGGTCAGCATCCCCCGTTCTCTCTCTGTCATCAAGAGATCCCATCTCCCTCCTTGTCTCGTCCAGCTGAGCAATGAAGACAGTGTGGCAGATGGCACAGCATCAAAGAGACAGGGTGGCATGAGCCACATCAGCAATGTTGAAGACAGCGTGGCTTGTGCCACATCAGCAGAGGCTGGCGCCAAGACAGGAAGGTGCCAGCGAGCAAGCAGTAGTCTTGCGCCGTCTTCCACAGTGCCAGCGTACAGCGAGCGTCCAGCCGGCGTCAAGCCAGCGTCCAGCTAGCGTCAAGTCAGCATAGCGATCGAATCTAGACTGCCTGGAGGCAGGGTCTTATGTAGCATTTGACAGGGTAGACACTGCCTCAGGTCTCCCACCCACGGTGGCTCAGATTGACTCGCAGCCAATGGCCTGGATCCCTTACAGTTGCAGACTTCCACTTGGCCTGAATGCTGTCTTGGTACCTGGATACAAACAAGCGCGTGTGTCTGACCATCGGCTTGGGGTGGGCCTAGGGTGACTTTGACTGAGGGCCGTGGAAGGTTGACTTTTAGTAAACTGTCTGGCGCAGGGCCCCTGAATCCACACATTTGGGGTCCTGTCTCTACCTAATGCGGCCTAGGCCGACGTCGGGCCTGGGGCCCTTAGACAGGTTACGATCCATAACGAACGGGTTATTGCATTTTTTTTCTGAGTTTTCTGCCAGGGAGGGAAGGGATTGGTCAGCTGCCAACCAGCCGACCGTTCAACCCGGCACCTGACAGTCGCCGTTCGCACAGCAGCGCTCAGAAAAAAAAAAAAAAAAAAAGTTGTGGGCAATGTGAGGACCATAACCCCCAATAACCCGAGCAACACTGCGAAACATCCCTATACAACCCTCCAACAACCCCATGCTGGCCCCCAGCACCGTCACCGCCCCCCCGTAACAAGGGTTTCTCAGTGGATTTGGGCTGTACTCGGAAAGTGCAGTATTGCCCCAAACTCTGATTTGAAAAAATTCAGCGGATAGTGCTCTATAGACTGGTCAGCTGACCACCGACCGTGAGGCCCTACTAGTAGGCTGCGAAACAGTCGGTGGTCGGCGGTCAGCATCGGCAGCTGGCAGGTTGCATGGGTTGCAACTCATGATTTGTTCATCTACATGTACATGTGTCCACCATTCAGCCACAGGGGAGAAAGACACTGGGGTTTGGACACCTCCGCGACCACATCAAATATTTGCTGAATCTTTATTACATCTCAGGAGTCAGAACTAAAAAAGAGGAGTTTTTTTGGGGCGGGGTTGTTGCGTGTCAAAGTGCAGGTGGAGCTGGCATTGAAAGTTGAAGCCCCGGAAATGGGAGAAAGACAGCGAGGTTTGGACTCCTCACCACGTCAGTATTTGCAGAATCTTTGGCTGAGCGGATACATCAAGCAGTTCGCTAAGGTAAATTTTCTGATCTGTGCTATCTCCATGTGCAGGCCAACTGTCTGTCTGAAAAATATGCACTGTACAGTGTATACCCTGAAACATATTTCAGAAGCTAGCACCCTTGTTGTACGGTTGCACCTTTCACAATATCACATCACCAGTGCCACCTACCGTCTTCACCCGAATAGAATGCCCGGTCATTATAGCTGCATTTGTCCCAACTTTCAGTCCAGATGTAGCGATAATGACCGGGCGTACTATTCGGGTGAAGACAGTCATTTTCCCTGCAAAATGGTTTGAACCACCAGTACACCCGAGTCTCTTTTTGCTGATGCGTCCCCATGCATGTGCCAACCATTGCCAAAACTTCAGCGCAGAGCTTTTTGTTTTTTGTTCGTATTTCGGCGCATGCTGCCAGCCACTGTTCACCCGAAATATGCAGATTGGCTGAATTTCGATGCTAAGGTTTGCCTGAGGGATGTTCTGGCGGCTTAAGGCTTTACAAGTCATTCGCCATGCTGCGACCGGCAGCCGCAGCCACCAACGGCTACGGGCGAAGATACCCGCGATTATCCCGGTTGCCGTGCCTGGATGGGAAGAGCAAGACACCCGTGATTCTCCTCGTTGCTGCGTCCGGGTGCTATATTTGGGTGAAGAGGGTAGTGCGAGAACATCATCAGATGGGGGGATTGGATGATTTGCATGGCCGACAACGGTTATTGACCATTGTCTCCCGAATCAGTCCCAACTGCTATCTAACAACTCCCATAAAACTTTTCGGCCGCGGACGCGACTCTCGCGTCTGCGATGGTCCACGTTAGTGTTTTCCCGTGGAGACGTCCGATGTAAAAATTCTGACGCGCGTCGTGAAGCGTGAGACGTCCGATGTAAACTTTTCGGCCGCGGACGCGACTCTCGCGTCTGCGATGGTCCACGTTA